TTTATAATAAATTGTTATTATTTTATAATAGATATAAAAAGTTAAAATTCTTGGATATAATTTTTTTTAATTATAATTTAATAATATTATTTTATATAAATTTATTTTTTAATTAATTATTAAATTAGTAATAAAAGTAAATTTTGATTTTTTTAACTTATATTATTTTTAAAAATTTAAAAATTTATATAATATAATATTAATATTTTACAAATTATTAAAAAAAATTTAAAATTCGAATTTATTTAATTATAAAAATTTGGTACTTTTATAATTAATTAAAAACTTATCTTAAATTATATAAAAGTAAAATTTTTAATTTTTAATAATTATAAAATTAAAAAAATTATATTACTTAAAAATTATATAAATAAAAACTTTTAATTTAATTTTAAATTCAATGAATTAATTAAAATCAAATTAACAAATTTTTAAAAACCCTTATTTTAAATTAATATATTTCAAAATAATATTTAAGATTTATTTTAATAATAATATTTTTTAAATTTACTATAAATATATAAACTAATAAATAAAATTATTAAATAAGTAATAAAAAAAAATCAAATAAAAATTATTTGGTTAAATAAGTTTAATTAATATAACTTTAAATAAAAATTCCAAGTAAAAATGTTATAATTACAAATAATTTAAAAAAACAAGAATACTTTAATTATAAATAATAAAAAAGAGATATTATATTATAATAATAATATTTTTCAAAAATTATTTTAATAGATTTTTTATATAATAACAATAATTTTTTTGAATTAAATAAAAACTATATAAAAGTTTCATATCTTAATTCATAAAAATATATATTGTATGTATATTTTTTAAATAAAATAAAATTTTTTTTTTATTTTTAATATTTGTTTATATAGTAATTAATTTAATGATATTGTTTTAAACAAAAACAAATATTTTTATGAAATAAGTGAAAAAAGAGTATTTTTATAAACAATAAAACATTAATTATATTGTGTTGTGTTGTATTATAATTTTTATATAAAATTCTAAAAAAAAAAAAAAAAAAAAAGATAGTACATTAAAAATATTTTATTTTAATTATTAATATTAAAATGATATTTATTACTGCAGTATATAAATTTTCGACTAATTTATTAGACAATTGATAATTATGAGGTAAAAAAATTATATACTGTATAAATATTTAGCATATAAAATTTTATAGATTAATTATATCAACTTTTGAAAAGGACATGATTATTTACTTATTGTTTTAACAAAAACATGTATTATTTTTATAGCTAATAATTTTAAATGTTACATCTTATTATGCTATACCAGTAACGAATTTATCGCTTATAAATTTTTTAATATAAGTTGGTTTTACATGTATATAGGACAATGGCTACACAATTAAAATCTAACCAGAAGTTACATTATGTAAGTGATCGAGATTTAGTATCAGAATAATGCTTAATTTTGAGATACAGTAAAATGATCAAGACTCAACTATAAAAGAAATAATGAATATGTGAAAGGACATAAAAGAATATGAATGTTCAAATGAAGAAGTGCGTAAAGGTCTTAAATAGGTGTATTATTGCTAAACAGATTTCAAACTTCGTTTTCTATAAAATATTTGATATGGACCTTAGAATAAAGAGCATGATTTTTAAAATAATTAGCACATACGAAACTGATCGATTGGAGTAACGTTTGTAACTTTACTTTTCTATTTACGTGTGTAAATTAATTACAAGTAGTTGAACTTAGAAAAGATACGGAGTCAGACAGAGTCACTATAAAAATAGTTTATTGTATGCAGAAGTTTATGATTTTCTTCGTACCCGTACTATCAGATTAATATTTTAAAACAGATGATATATGAGGATGGTTATCACAGCACTTTTCACGTTCTCTAAACAGTTTCCACAATTATTATTTCTCTGCCAAGACTTCACATATAAATCAGCACTTGGACGTCGATTAGGATTTCCATCCCAACATTTTCGATAGACTTCTATATATTCACATGGAGTATATGGTATCGGTTTCTCTCTTTTACATTTAATAAGTCTGGAATGTTGGGTAATTTCAATCTTTAAATAGCACTGCTTCACTCGATACAGTATTTCCACACCCAAGCTATATACGTCTGATACCTTTGTAAAATTTGCATAGCAATTTTCACCTAACTATGGGTTCACGAACGCTAATAAACTTTGAATTACCGAAAACGTTAAACTTTTGCGGGAGAAGTCTTTGATATCCCAAAGTCCGTTATCTTTAGCCTAGTTTCACTCGGTTTTTGTCACGTGCTGACAAAACTATATTTCCTGTATGCTAAATTACAAGTCCTGTGTAAAATGTTATTAGTACGGTATATAAAATTTCAAATCACGTGAAACCCGTTTAGCAATATTTATTCTCTAGAACAATTATTCGGTGCTAAAAAATAAAATTATAAAACATACGTCGACCAAAATGGTCAGGTATAACATTAAAGAAATAATTTATAATATTTATTATTTATTAAATAATCAATTACATATTAAAGCACTTTAATCCATTATACAGTATTTTCGTGACCACCTCTCGCATTGATCGAACGATAAACTTTAAGCTAACTGACAATTCCAAACTAATTTATTATAATAAAACGCGAAAATGATGCGTACATTCGTAATAATTTCCAGGTGTATAGCTTTTCTTCCATGAGCTTCAAGATCACGATCGATTTTCTATCATCACTATTCCGTGTCGTCTTTTGAATTTGACAAGTGCTTCCATTCGTCATGCACTAAATTTATTATACTCAAGAATTGTCATGTATCCTAGTGGTTTTTATTCCTTTGGTGCCTTTTTCAACAATCTTGAATTATCAGAATTCTAATTTCTTACATTATTAGGTATTCATTTATTTTTATTTTTTTTCTTTTCTTCCAATTAAATATTATATTAAAAAATAATACACTAATTCATTAAAATGAAATGATCATCACCGAAACACTATAAATACAGCAGTGCTATATGTATAATCAAGATTCTCGTGCAGAAAATCATTATGAATTCGAAAAAAAATAAGAAGCATTCGAAAAAACTAAGAAAAAAAAAAAGGCTTAGCAAGCTCTTAAAAACTTCCAAAATTAATTATACCGCGACCGACACAAAGGTTCAGACACTTTTCACATCTTCACAGGACTCAAGTTTTCGGGATACGCACGAAGAGTTTAATAACGATGACTCCCGTTGTCCGAGACTTTGAGCAATTCTTTTGTCCCTGAACAAACTGACACAAATGATTGATTATACGAAGTATGTTTTGTACTTTCGCAATGCCTTTATGTAAAGCGTCATTGCAATGTTTGACTTGATAATTTAATAAAGAAAGAAAAAAGAACAACCTTTTAGATATTACCTATGTTTCGATGTGAAGAAGGAAGCTTCAATTATATGAATGAAATCATAGAATTTCCTGTATTACTTATTGATAGTCACACATTTGATATCGTAGGATTTGCTTTTCCTCGGAATTTATTTTCTCACCTTACTAGCACATCTACATTTACGCTTTTCATCAAATACCATGTGTCAAAAACAAAGAACAAGGTTAAGGCAATGAAATCACTATAGATATGATTGTATCTAGTAATATGAAATCATTGGGCCTATAAAAATGCAGGAGGAAAAAAATCGATGATGAAGCGCAAGTTGTGATTACAGTTAATATTCTGAAAAATAGAGAGAATGCGTCAATAATTTACGAGTTCTAATTTATCTTTGAAAGACTTCAGGACTAATTTTGACACTTACACAGGTTCTTTGATCTAAATTTATACGTTATCTGATTCGTGTATCCAAGAATCGACAGGCAGTTAACAAGTAACAAGATCCTTGCTTCAAGCGCCCATATTAAGTGCAAGAGACACTATGGAAATGGTTAACTAATTTTGATGCACATGAAAATATTGGTGCAATAAACTATAGCATGCGAACTTGCCTACGCTCCCGATCACATATCCATTCACTAACGCGTATATAAAAATAAAATACCAACTTGGTTGGAAATCATCATTTGACTTATAAGCCAAAGAGATTAATAATATAATTGAGGTGGCGAGGGAAATCCACCATAGCCATCAACTAGAAGTTATTCGACCAACAATTCAGGTTTGATAAGTCACATTCGCAAATGGGAAAGTTGAAGAAAAAAAGAAAGACACTTACTATCGTTGAATAAAGTTTCTCCAATCATACATGTAAATTAACAACGATGTAATTGCAAGAATGACAAACACATGTACAGCAAAAATAGTCCGGACTTTACGGACGAATGCTATCGAGGATGCAATAGAATCAAAGGGGTAAGACAGGGCCAATAAAATCCCAAATACAGTTGAAGTTGTCCAACGATGGGCTCACCATAGTGGGTTGTTGTTACGATGCCACTATGGAAACATAAAAGAACACACAGTTGAACTAACCGAAATTTATTCTCATTAAATTCAGGAAACATGAACTTCAACTGTACAATAATAAAAACATATGGTAGATTGTTATTACCCATTTGAATGGGAGTGCTACATAAGGACACCAGGACGCAAAAAGGGTACAACCTAGTATTTTCGTCTTAAACAATGACATCGTTACGTACATTATTCTCGTCGACATTTCGCGATACTATGAAAGTAAACTGGCGCGACCAATATTTTTAGATTTCATATGCTATGTGTTGCACGTGATTTTTTTTCTCATTGATAATCGATATTTTTTTTTTAAAAAAAAAAAAATTAATTTACTGTATACTGTATTACGGCGAGTTAAACCCACGGTTATAGTATATATTTTTTGAATTTATTAATTATACTTTTAAAATATTTTTTATTATATATAAACAATCTTGGAATTTTCGGGTTTCACGTTGGACTTCTTTACACTCTTCTATAGTAAATAACTCTTCTGCCTCTCGGTCATAAAGGTCAACAAGCCATGAATGCAAGAGTGATTCATTTTGCAGTTCCTTGCAGTGTTCAAAAAGAGTATCTTCGATGCATTTTCCAGATGTAAGAACTAATATCCATGAAGTATTTGTGAAAATCTTTGAGTTGTGATAGCATTAACGTTAATGGAGGGCTCTGATCTTCAACATTGCTTATATTACAAAAAGGAGTAAATCTTTGAGCCTAAGAAAAAATTAAAAAAATTTTAATCGAAGAATTAAATACCTTGGTGTGTAATCTGAATCATTGTCACTTTCGGGTAAGATAAAGAGATGGAATTTAATGATCTAAAAAGAACCGCACCAATTAGCAATTATTTGATCTTGATAATAACTGCACAATCACCTTAATGTAAATACCATACCTCTTCCTCCCTATCTATTTCATTAGAAACGTGTGTTCATCACTTATAGAATCCTGTGATTTAAATTCGGTCTAAAAAGAACCGTGCTAATTAGCAACTATTCAGCACTGACAATTCACTTTAATGTAAATACAATACATCGTCCATCACTTATAATTTCTGATTTCCGCCGCTTCTTATGTGTACTTGTTGAATTTTGTTAAGAATTATCAATCTCATTATCTAACTCCTAAAGAAATACAAAATCAGTAACAAATAACGTCAACTATTCTGCCAATTATCAATTACTAGCTAAAAAACATCTTACCGTATATTAGACCCCTTCACGATTCTTTCTCTTTAATATATTAACATTGAATGGTCCCAACCACTTCGCCATCCGTAATTTTGTGGAAGTGAATTGAATTACCACCATCTACCTTACGCGCATTCTCCTATTGTCTTGCGATATGAAAATCAGATTTAAAATCACTCAAAGTTAGACAATTTGAAATATTGGTACAAAATAATATTCCATTTAATTTTCTTCCCATCGAGTAGGCTAGAAGACTTTAACACAGGGAAGCGAAAAGGTTGCCTGTGCCCCCGATGGCCCAACGCTGAGTAGGCTAGAAGACTTTAACACAGGGAAGCGAAAAGGTTACCTGTGCCCTCAGCGTCAGATGTGACAAAGAAGCTAAAAGGTTCCCGCCACATATTTACTTTCTCTCAATCACATTTCCAACAAAAAAAATTACTTTCCTTCTGATAATATTTATTAAGAAGCTGTTCTGCGTTTTCACGTTTTTTTCCTTGCTTGGAGCTAATGATGTGTTTAAGACTTTTTATATCCACACGCCCATTTAAAATATTCGCGTATTTTTTGTCAGACATTTTATTGGAGATCATTTCACGGACGTACAGACGGGTGACACAAAATTGGGACGATTTTTATAGCGACAAAAATTAACACATACTTAAATTTATTTTATTA